ACCTTGAGAAGGTAAAGAGGTTGTTTGTGGTAGACCCTCGGCTCAAAGAAAGATGAAAAAGAAACAGTAGCAACAAGCAATAACACCAGCAATCCAATAAGAAAGTCGAAGCGAAAGAAACAACAAATAGTAATAGAAACCTAAGACTAAGAAATTACAAGATTAACACCAATATTACTGGTATAGACAAGGAAAACTCTCGACTACCTAACCTTCTACCCTGATTCTCGACCCCCACACCCTTATGTCAAAGGTCATGTCCTCGGTAAGCCGAAGCTCAATGGTCATGTCCTCGGACATATATTGCAACTTGATTTTCATAAATGAACTTTATCTAACTTATGTATCCAAGCTAGAATTACTAAGCAAGATAGCTTTGTCCATGTGAGTTCAAATGTTGCTACTGCCATGGCTTGTCATTCAGCTTCCATGCTTCTTATAACTATATTTTGCTTTTTACTCTTTCCAGATAAAGATTACCCCAAAACATAATACCCAGAGGTGGAAGCTCTATCTGAGGGTGAACCTTGTCCAATTTGCATTTGTAGGGAAAACAGTTTATTTGTGTCCTTTAACGTTGGGAAGTAGTCCTTTTCATGGGACTTTCTAATGTCTCTCGTGATTACCTATGAGGAACTAGTGTTTGTTTCTCACAACTGCTTTGATACTATGTAAAAATGGGAGAAGAGGTAGGCAGAATAAAGAGAGCAAGCACCAACTCCTACTATATCAGGGCCTTTAGCTTTCACTGAGAAGAAGAGATCACTTCTAGCTAGCTTTTTCCCCTAACCCTAACCAATGAATGATAGGCTGGGTTAGCCTAATTGAAAACGAATTGACTTTCAGTAATCGGAGGCAGGTCATGTACAAACATCTTACAGCCAGGGGTTTTTTATAGATCTGCACAAAAGAATAGTTAACTTATAGAGAGTGCAATTTAAAAAAAAAACGTGAATTTCAAGGATCTAAGCATTGAGAAACCATGTCTTTTGCATTTCAGGTTCGAGGTTCTATTCCACTCTTGTGGGAGCAAATAGTTGATTTGAGCTATAAACCACGGCTTAATATTATCTATCATGGGGAAACAGTATGTACTTACTCTTCATTATCTCTATGTCAAATCTTCTAGTGTATGAAATATGAGAAATTGCCTTTCCTCTGTTCAGCCGAAAGTTGTGGAGCGCCACTTTCATGATCTTTTGCAAAGATATGGCGATGTCATTGCAGTTGACTTGACAAACAAGGTAAAAAGCTTTTCTGTTGATGTTTGGTTCATTAAATAGCTTTGATGTGCATAATATGGACATTTTTACAAACATCAACTCTGGAGAATGCTTTCAAGTATACGTGTATCCATGCTCAAGTTTCATTTATCCATCTTACTGAGTTTTTTGAATATATCAGGAAGGTGAGGTTGCTTCTATTTTATTTTTTTTCTGTCAGGGCATTTCCTAAACTCCGATTACTATAATCTAAGGCCCTACTTTGCATTCTAAGATATCTCAATCCTTATGAATGATGAAATTTGTGTTAAAACAGTAACTGTTTATTTCATTTCTTGATAGTCATAGCAGTCATGTTCCCCAGTAAGCTGGTCTTTATGAGACTCCACTTAGCAATTTATACCAATTTTACTGCTACAGGAGCTAGTTCTTTTAATGACTTTCACATTTACAAATATCTTGACTATTTCCGTCATCTCTTTTGCAGCTAGGTGATGAGGGTCTATTAAGTTCAGCTTATGCAACAGAAATTCAAAAGCTATCAAGTGTGAGGTGACTGACTCTTTTAAACCTTTTATCTATACGAGGCTGTAAGATCATTTCCATTCCATAGTTTCATAATGCCTGAAGTTAGAAGTTGGAGAGAGAAGTAGAGAAGTTAACAGTTGGCTACCATACTGACGATATAATAGCTATCATCACATTCCTGAAGTTTGTAGATGTACAGAGAAGTGGAGAATTGTATAGTTGGCTACAGTTACTTCTGATATGGTGGTCATCATCAAAGTCAGTAGACATCTGGATAAAAGATTGTCCATCCTTCATTCTGATCAAAGGATGGGATTGGAATATTATGCACAGTTTCTACAGTTAGCAATATGTGAACTGTGTTATAATAGTTTTTTAGTCTGTTTTCAAATCAATATTTCAGCAATTTTGTGCCTACTGCACTGCAATTAGATTTTTTGAAGTATTGACTACTCAAATTCAAAAACGAATTTCTTGATTTCTATTTGCACTGTCTCAGATATGTGTCGTTTGACTTTCATCACTGTTGTGGGGGCTCAAACTTTGAAAACATACAACTTCTGTTTGATCAGATCTCTGAGGATTTTGAGAAGCACGGGTAAGAATAAAACTAGAACAACAGTGACACTGTTTGCCAGGAAAAGATGCTTCGATTTGACAATGTTGAATCTCCATGATACTGTTTTTTTATCCCCTAAAATTCACTAATCCAGCTGAGCAGATACTTCCTCATAGACACAGAAGAGCAGATATTAGCGAAGCAGAGAGGAGTTATTAGATCGAACTGCATTGACTGCCTAGATCGAACAAATGTTACTCAGGTTGGAAGAAGCATGTCAATGTTCTTTATTCGATAAAACAAGTCCTTAAAATGCTCCAATCACACATAATATTGTTTATTTTATATGATAATTTCCCTTGTGCTTGCCCTTTATAGTCTGCCGTTATCTTGTGCAGAGCTACCTGGCTCAGAAGTCTTTGAATTCACAACTGCAAAGACTTGGTGCACTTTCATCGAATGAGTGCATTTCTATGTTCAGTGAAGATTTTGAAATCTTTAGGACTAGTATGGACTCTGTAAACTTGGTGATCCTGTTGATTCATACTTGTATTTGTTGTCTACTTAGTCTTCTTAGTCCTGTAATATTTGCAGTGTGGGTGGATCAAGGTGATGAAATCAGCCTGGAATATTCTGGAACACATGCTCTAAAGCGGGATCTTGTCAGGTAATGCATGAAAATATTTTGGGTTTAAGTTAATCAAGCAAAAGGATCATTTTTCTACTCTAATTTACTTGAAACTATACCAGATATGGAAAACAGACTATGACAGGACTTATACAAGATGGGATGAGTGCCCTTTCAAGATACTTCTTGAACAATTTTCAGGATGGAGTTCGTCAGGCATGCTGCAGACACTTATAATCTTATATGAAATGATCTTCTCTTATTTATTCTCTTTAGACTGCAAGTTATATCACCATGTACTTTCCATGCTTTTGCAGGATGCAATGGACCTTATAAGTGGTCGCTATAGTGTTAACAGGGGAAGCCCCTCCCGCGTCCAGCATAGTGGATTAGAATCACTCAGTGTAAGCAATCACTGTTTCTTAGTAAATAACCTAGATTATAGCAGGCCTTCTCCATCTTCTATTGAATATAGTAGAATCAAGAATCTTACTGATTTGTCTTCACAAAGTTAAATCTCTTTCTATGACGATATTGCTGCTTTTACATGTTGTGTGGTGCAAACTTGTTATAAAAGTTGCCCAGAAAATGATTATCAATGACCAGATTATAGTGAAAAAGCATCAATCCATTCCAAGTGGTCGCTTGTCTGAAAAATAACTGCTGATTTGTTGCAGTAATTTAGCCAAGTCATTTTACTTCTTTCCTTGTACCACATTATTACACTGGCTATCGGTCATATGAACAAATATTTGCAGTATCTACCTGTAGCATCAGCTCTTTTAATTGGAGGATTGACCGTGACCACCATCACGATAAACCAAGGTATCATTTTACTTCAGTTTTTTTTTTTTTTTGAGCTGAATGGGATTGTCAGTACTCAGTATGCAGTATTTGCTGAGTTTTATCTCATAGTTTCATTTCTCAAAATTCTAATTTAGCATAATCTACTTTGAGTAGCGGGACGAAATACAAATACCTATTTGTCCTCTGTGCTCTGTGCTGGTGTAACTGCTGGAGTTATGGCAATTGTCAAAGCAAATGGAAGGCAAATCTGCTCAAGACCTCGATTATGTGGACTGCTGTAAGTTTGAGCATCATATTATAGTAGATATAAAGAACCATGAGGCATCTTTGCTCCATGGACCTTGGCTGCTATTGAAGCCTGAATGGAACCAAGCCGTCAAAGAATTTGGGAACTAGGAGGACGGGACTACGCCAGGAGGAACATGCACTGTTGTAAATTATAATGAAACATGAGAAAACCTCTTAGCAAATCGGAAACATGACTGGTTATATATATTTTGCTTGTACTAAATTTGACTTAAACATGGCTGGAAGTTCAATGTTCCCATAATGATTACATCCTGATCACAGGAATTGATGATCATATATTTGCATTGTGTCAAACAGTTGAAGCAAAGTATGAATATCCAAACATGGCATTCAATTAGCTGTAATGGAAGTGTACTTTAAAATGCTTTATGCTCCCACCTCTTTATAGTGATTTGTTCAGTTCAATTAAATTTTCAGGTTGACACTATTTTCCCAAATAGCCACATATTGCTTTTTAGTTTGAAGAATAGAACTTAAAAGATGAAAATGTTGCATCGTGAAATTAAAGATTTTTCCGACACTTCTGAGAAGTGTTGCATTGTGAAAATAAAAAATCACCGAGCCTTTGGTATAATAAGCTGTTAGGACTTTCCTAAAAATGAAGATTAAACTATAACGAGATGACGATAGATGAAAGACATTCAATTGAGTTTATGATTCCTAAAGACAAATTAATTGGCCCCAAATATTAAAGGACCGATTGGCATGTTTTTGTTCTTTAATTTTTTACCAAAGATGTTTTTGTTACTAAATTTGAGTAATTTGGCGGTACTAAGCTTATGTCAACCTTATTCATTTGCAGTAGCCTTGAAAAATTCATATACATTTGGAACTACTACAAGCAGTACCCGATGGGAGACATGGGTGTTACATTCTTCATTTGTCTCTTCTGACTGGTGTAAAATGAATAAGAGGTATTTGGTTTTGGTGTGAATTTTTCAAAATCTATTCAAATAAGAAAAATTATATTAAAATCAGAAAGATAACAGTGCATACCAGCTTGCATAGCCAAATAGATACATATAATGAACAAGTGCACATATACAATGTTTGCTTTATTGTATAGACTTACTTTATGATTATGATCTAAAAGGGATTAAATATTCTTGAGTGAGTTCCCTTTTTGTACACGTATTCTAGAGGTGCACTCAATTCACCAGAACTAGAATACGACGATGGTTGAGATACTACAGACGACTCTTTGGCCTCAATGTTGCTGGCTTGAAGCTAGGAAGACCTGTAATTTCTCTACCTGTTACCAGTGTGTTGATATCATAGGTTCCCTCATATGTATAGATGGGCTCCAAGTCACAGAATGCCTACAGATATTGACAGATATGGAGAAAATGAGACCAGAAAAAGTAAGTTGCTGCCGACATGATCTATACAACTCTACAAGTAAATACAATAGGACTTAAGTATTCTCTGCTTTGCATCTAAGAAGGGAAGTTAGCATTGAGTGTTCATCCACAAACCTTTGCTACTAGAAAGTCAGCCAAGATACCGTTTCCGCCAAGTAATTCCCGTCCAAAGGAAACCGTTTCTCTCGCCCTCAAGGAAATCCATGACTAGAAGCAAGCAATTAGTTATCAGTCAAAAAGGTCACATACAACCACCCTTAAAATCAGTAGAATAAGGTCTTACTTTCCCCAAGCTAGCTTGACCAGGTGTCATTTTTCCACTCTCGTACAGCTTGCAAAGGCGCCAACCAACAAGAAGCATAGCCTGAATGTTTCCCAACATCTGAACCAACTTCTGTTGATTGATCTGGAAAGCAGCCAGCGGAGCTCCAAATTGCTTCCTCTCTTTCAAATACCTTGAAGTTTGACAAATAATTTAGCCCAAACAAATGTTGAACTGTGGGAAATTTATAAAACATTGAATGAGAAGATTGACAAATAAAGGGCACAACAATATGCTAATGAAAGTTCCTCTAATCCGCTGCATGGTAAAGCTATCGTAAATAGTAACTTCTAGTACTGTTTTATCTTCAATTACTTATTTTCTGAGAGAATCAAATATCAAACCCCATCATCAGTTAAAATTCCTTTGCTTGATAACTTTGACTGTTCTATTTTGAAGTAGACTGATGTGACATTAAAAATTCAATAATGACTATGCTTCAATTCTAATCTAGTTGGGCCGGCCATAATTTTTTAATTTTTAAACCACCATTGGTGATGATTATGCATTGCCTAATCTATGTATTGATTACAACAAAAATACAGAGCCATATGACTCCTTAATATCCACCCCGTTGTATCTCGACTCTTTACATTTTAATACTGAATCATTTTCCTTTTAAGACAAGTAATGGGTTCTAGAGGTTCTCTACATTAACATAAAATCCCTACACAAAATAAAAGCCTCCTAATCAACACCAAACTTTAATGTCAATTTCTTAATCCAACTAGTTGGTACCACTTGTAAGGATCTTTTGCTTCTATAATTCTATTGTGTTTTGTTCTTCGCCAAGAGAAGAAAAACGTTTTTGAGATATTGTAGGTTTTTTAGACAGCTTTCTTTCACGTGAAAAATAACATATCGGATGCATATTTTTGTGAAACTCCAGATAAGTATAATGTCACTGCTACAGTAGAACATTGTAGACAATTGCAATCTCAAAAATCAACTTGCCTTATATATCCAGCAGGAATTAGCTTAAAGTCCATGATTTGATCCAAATGGTGTGTATAATTAACTTTCATTTGATGGTAAATAAAACAGGTGACCTAATTAATAGTAGTACCTGTGACACATATCATAGACACCCATTGCAATGCCTATAGGTTGCCATGATACCATGACACGTGATACAGCAAGCACCTGTTCAGGAAACAACGTATAGACTGTAAAGACAGTTTCAGCTAGTTAAGTAATTGGAGGTGCCAAAATATTGGTAATAACTTACAGGACACGATTATAAATGACAGAACTTCAAGAAAATGAATTGCCAAGATGCATGCTTGTAGCACTGGGAGTAAACAAAATCATTATAATGAGAACAGTTGTTTCATCAATTAGTAGGCCTATCACACTAGGAATAGATCCATTAGCAAACACTGAAAAGTTGGGGATTGGAGGAATTAAAATTGTAANTGAGAACAGTTGTTTCATCAATTAGTAGGCCTATCACACTAGGAATAGATCCATTAGCAAACACTGAAAATATGGGGATTGGAGGAATTAAAAATGTAATCCATTTCTTTTTTTGGATGCCTATGTATTTTCCTTCTTTAATGAATTTAGAGAACATTTTCGGTTTTTCTTTTTGGGGGGTTGGGAGGGTGAGAAGGAGGGGGCTTCTGTTGGATGACAGGTATATTTTCAAGAATTTTAGAAACTTTATTGGCATGACTAGAAACATACATTCATTCATTCTCTTAAGCTTTTTGATTCTTGCTCCCTAGTCAGACCAAACCATTAGTGACAAACCTTTTAGTGTATTAAACCAATAAAAACATCAAGATGATCCTTCGGCTCAAAGATTTATTAGTAGAAGTGTAGAACAAGCTTAGGTGCAAATTTTGCATCATCAAAGCATTGCAGCCACACAGCCATACCTTGCTTGTATCCTGGAAAGAACTGACGCCAGGTAGTCTATCCTCATCTGGAACAAATACATTCTTTAAGAGAATATCTCCATTTT